CTGGAGCTGGAGTTTATAGGTCTTGTGAGGGAGTCTATTTTCTCTACTGGGGTTTTAATTTATTTTATATTCTGGATAATTACATAGGAGGTGTGAAGACACTCTGATATGGGCAAAAAGAACATCAAAATCTCCAGACATAAAGTTCTGACAAGCAATTATGGGGAGGAATGTCTAGCTTCTAGAGTCCAGAGGACATGAGAATAGCTAGTCAGTAACAAAACCACCAGATTCTGCCTATTAACTAAAATAGCATTTTTGTTTGGACTGACCCTTTATTGGTTATAAAAGAGTAATAATAGCAACCATTTAGAAATCACCTCTTACTAATGATACAGTAAATTAAAAGGTTATTTGCTATGTAAACATTACATTATCTTTTTCTGCTTTCATTTAAACATATATATTTACTTTTATTTGCTTCCAGCTGGATTGTAGTTGGTGTTTTCTGTAATGTAGCCAAGCAGTGTAACAGTACATAACCAAACCTGCATGCAATTGTATCATCTCAAGGTCACAATTTCAAGCACAAAGGCACTTCACTTTCCTAATATGCAATGTCTGCATATGTACAGTATAATATATGCTGAAAGAGAATTGTTTTTAAGATACAAACAAATGCATCTTTTCTACACTTGGCAACTTTGTTTTCTTATTATTTGCATTGCATTGTCTTGAATTATTAAACATTCACTGTAATAATCAAATCTGTATTTTTCAAATGTTCTGACAACAGTCTGTGGCAAAATATACATTTAACTTGCATAACTAAGGCAAATACATTTAGGCTAGTGTCAAACAAAATAATGTTTAGTAGAAATCAGTATTTGGATATTGTATTGCACCATGAAGCAGAATATTAAAGGAAACCTGTACCTTGAGGCATAGGCATGGAACAAGTAAACAGATTAACAAAGGCACAGTGAAGTCACAATTCCTGCATACTTGTTCCAGGTCTGTGGCTTAGAGGGTACTGAACCCATTAAATCAGCATGACATTCAAGTAAAAAGTATTTTCGGGGAGGCCAACAAAGGCAGTCTTAATGCTTTATTGGTACAGATTTCCTTTAAGGAGAACTATCCTTACCTGAACTTGTGTAAGAATTGAAACATTCAGTCTTGAATTCTTATAACTGGGCAGACTTTATTATGAAAGATTTTTCTGTGCTCCTTTTATTTAACTTTACTTCTTTTTATCTGAGTCTAACCCTAAAGTGTGTTTCCAATTTTGCAATCAAATTTGAGAAACCCCCACTATGTTTGTTCGGTGTTCCTATTCACACACCTACAAACAATTTTACTGTATATTTCTTACTTTTAAGCTGCTTCTTTGTTGAAGGGCTTTGTGGGGATCCCAAGCTACTCTGGGCAGTTTGAAAATGAAACTAGAGGGGCAAACTAAAGGTCAGCAGACTTCTTCTCATTAAGATACAATGCCTCTGAGTTTTTAACCCTTTGTTAGAATAGACAATTTTCAAATCTAGATTACAACTAATAATAAAAACTGGCAGCACAGTACCGTCAGAGTTAAATAGAGTAAATATAACTCCCCACAGCCCCCACCTTAACATTACATAAGGTATAGTTTTTTAAGTTATGCAAATGTGAATGGGAACATATTACAAATCTAAAAAAAGGTGTTTTCCCAATTAGGCTGCAAAAATGGAAATACACTTTAAATGTGTTAGCTTGGGATCAAGGGTTAGCTCAAATCTGGCAGATGTTCATTTGTTAATTGAAAGGCCTCACACACTTGGGGGAATTGTTAAACAAATGGAGCAGACAGAATCTAGAGCAATTGTCCATAGCAACCAATCAGCTTCTCTCTTTCATTTTCAAAACGTAACTGAACAAACTGAAGAGAAAAGCTGATTGGTTGCTATGGGCAGCTACTCCAGATTCTGTCTGCTCCAGTTTTGATAAATTCCACGCACTGTTTCTGCTTCCATGTGTGCATAACAGCTATTAAACATAAATAAGTATAACAGAGATCACCAGGAATTTAAAAAATTAATTGATGTGGTATATTGGCCTGTTATGCATACCTAGAAGCTGGGAACCCACATGTCAAGTAGATGTCAACTGTCAAACTTATGAAGAAGGGAATGTAAGTGTAGATAGAGACTACAACAATTGATAACCACCACTGGGCCTCAAAAGCCACTGGAGGGTTGTCAATTTGAAATTACTTTTTTATTACACTTGTTTCTGTATATCTGTATGATCTATTAGGCCAATAGATTGCTGATTTCTGTTTACCTTTATGATATGGTTCTGAATTGTAAAGTACATTTATAATGTTAGAATACACAAATGAAACCAAAGAACTGTAACTTATCTGAAAGAAATCAGCACACAGCGATTTAACAGTGCTTTCACTCATTGCATGAGAAGTATTTTGATACTTGCATTCTCACACTTCTATATGAAGATGATGTGTTAACGTGGAGCATGTTTGCATGGCATGAGGGTTTTAATATATACATTGGAGCATAGAATATAGATTTTCTTCTTGAGTGCTGTATTGTAATCCTTAATACACAGGCGTCCTTGTTTCCTAGTAAAGTCTAACACTGGGAATGCAGGCTGGGATGCTGCAGGCTTCACTTGACAGAAATCTGCCAGAGCACATTTTAGTTCAAGTTACATGAATTGACTGCACCGCATGGTCACTCACAGCCTTTCACATTCAATTTTCATCTGTTCACTGAACAAGATTTCCAAAGGCCTGAAACTTTACTTTTTCATGTTGGGGGGAAAAAAGCTATGTGGAGACAGTAAACAATTCTGCAGCATCTGACGTTCTAAGGTTTTCTAAACTGGAAAAAAAAACCTACATGAAAGACCATATTAGATAAAGGAGTACACTATGGCTGTAGATTCTGGGCTGCAAATGCAATCAAAGAGAATACATTATTGTTGTAAAGAAGAGACCATGCATTTCAGTTCTCTTGTACATTAATTCAAAGATAACAGATACACATGTGGGAGTTATTTTTGCTGCCATCCTCATCCTTGGCTAGTGGGTAAATGACCTAGAAACAAAGCAAGCACCCAGTGAAGTTTCAGGTCACAGGCTTACTAAGAGAAGTTAAAAAGATGAGGTTTACAGCACCAAAGAGTGTACTCATACTACGTTGTTGGCAAACGTAGCTCCTATATTTTTATATTGACCTGTCAGTGCAGTTTCTAATGCTGTTTTCTAAAATAGTGCATATATTTTTCTGCAATATGGTTGAATAAGAAAAGCCTCCCATTCCTGAGCTGATTGTTAGGATAAATTTACCAATACTTTAACATTTAAAAAAAATATTTTCCTGAGACATTAATGGAAGCTGCCATTGCTGACTCTTCATTTCTGCTAATGCTTTTTGAATGGCTGTCCTGTTGAATACTTTAAATAACTTTCCACGTACTTGTATGCAGGACTTCCAACTTTACTCTGAGTTTTCACATCTGCACACTTTTCCCAGATCTCCAAATGTATAGACGGTAGAGGGTCAGCTATCATTTTCTTAAGGAGGTCCGCTATACTAGCTACCCTATTTCTCTCAGGAAATGCTTACTTTAAGGGGTTGATTTACTAACCTTATAAACACACCATGAACGTGTATACACCTCTGTAGTGTGCTCCCTCCCAGCATGATCTATGGGAGGAATCAAAACACCTTTGTAGTGTGTACACACCCAGCAGGTGTGTTGTGCAAAGCCCTGCAATGAATTGCAAGGTAATGTGGTGTAAATTAGCTCTATGTTATGTTGCTTGCGTTGATGAATGCAGGAATGTAAATGCATTAGCTAACCATTTTTGTCTAAACTGTGAAGCAGCATTATATATGCATCATGTGCATGATTTTTCCATATATGGCATTAGTGGAAATATGCTTTTAGAGACTTTTTGGTTGATAAATACGTTTTGCTGTGTGAAAATCACACACACCTGGTGCGTGCGTGTGTTTAGGTTAGTAAATCACCCCCTAAATCTCATATAGAGTTATGTAATCATAATGTTAAAAAAAAACTGCTTTAACCTGCTTGAAATTACAATTCTAACTTTTATTTATTATGAATTCAAGGTAACTCCACACAGATGATCATTGCAGATCCTTCTAGTTATATATAATAAAATGTTCCTCTGTTAGGAATGTGTATAACTAACTTTGAAAATTTGTTTTTTATAGTAAAATTGTACACAAGAACCTCAGCTAATGTCTATGCTCATTCACATACCACTGCTGCTCCAAGTCATAACCATGCCCCCACTGAGTTCTTAGTCAATCACTAGGACACACATTGCATTCTAGAATGTAGTCACTACTAAAAACCCAGAAGCTGCTCTTTTAAGATTCATAAGCTCCTTGAAGTTACCATTTGGGATTTGCAGGCACCAGATTTAAAGGCTTTACTTTTCTAGGACATGGTTAATTTAATAGGTTAGTTCATGCAGGTGTACTTTAATTTCTCTATCTCTGTTTATGTTCTATTTAAACAGGGTTCTGGTTACAAGGTTGACTAATGCATTTCATATTATCATTTTCATATTATCAGTTGCAGACCTTCTACATCGAAATGGGTATTGCAATGCAGTTTTTAACCTTCTGCATGACTTTATTGTTTTGTTTATTGCAGGCTATTTTTGCAATTTATCGAGGATGCACAATTTTTGTTTTATACAGGACATTGAAGATCTACACCTCTAATAACCCACTAACACTTTAGTAAAATTGTGTGTAAAGAAATTTTTCTATTATGTAGCTCCTGCAAGAGCTGTAATGCTCAGCTTAAATCTACACCTCATGATGACCAGATTTGTTCTATGTTTCTGTTATATCTGTGCATATAACTGTGTTTGGCGTGTTAAATTTTATTGTTTTGTAAGTATGTTAATTGATGTGTATTACTGCTAGTGCTGGTCCAGAGTGCAATTCTATGGAAGCAGGAATAGAAACATTCCATGATAGTTCACTGTTCATAAAATATTTGTTTTTTCTGCACAATAGGTTTAAGAGGACAGAAAGGGGAAAGAGGTGAATTTGGAATTGGTCTTCTAGGGAGCCCAGGCCCCACAGGACCTACAGGTAATCACTTTCCTTTATTTTTTCTTCACTACTTCTCTGCAATGACTGCACAGGGCTCTCTAAAGTTCTGTTACTATTGTAGATTGTAGATTGTAGATTAAACACGAAGGTGAATATAAATACTGTAAGGTTAATAGCATGTAGTTGTACTTAAGTTCAGGGTTTTAACTGTTTTACTGCCACCAATATAAGGACTATGGAAATGCAGAACTGGTTGCAGCAGGCTGGCTCAGTAACCCTTACAGCGACAGAGCTCTTAATTTACACCCATGTGGAGCCTAACATCTTGCCTTTTTGTGAATAGATATGATCAGTGGCTAAAAAGCTGCTGATCACATCCATAAAGTGTACATGTGATTAATAACATCACCCGGCACCCCCACAGGCTTGTTTACATACATAAGCTGGCCTGGGATCGGTCATTTGTGGCAGGAGTAGCGGCTTGTGAACATCAGGCGGCACATCAACATCATCTGGGTCATCATGATTGAAATTGATCTACATTTCTGGATGACCATTTAAAAAACAAAACAAAAGTAACCCCTTAAAATTCACAAAAGACACTTATCCAGGCATGCAAAGCCACCCTCCTTGCAAAGCCCCTTGTCTCGAATGTTGAGGGTACAAGGGTCTCACGTTCACATCTTGTCCCCTAAAAGGGATGTGGGGGCCTCCACATATTTATTGGTATGCGGAAGCCCCCATAGAATAAGGGGTCCTCCAGATATCATAGGTGAATTAGTATTTTGTAGATAGTACCCCTTAGTTACTCATTCAAAAAAAGTGAAAACATAACTTAAAACACTCACACTACGAAAAAGTCCTTTATTAGAAAAAAACAATATTCCCCACAGCAATTCCAATGTCAATCATGTCCTCCAGCAATGAAGACCATGTCAATCATAATGACACGCCATTTTGGCATTCTTGACCCACAACTACATACATACATCATACACATCTGCTGCGGTGCATTTTCAGAACACATCACAGTGCTACATTTTATTTTATTTTTTTACTTTTTAAAACAACATTATATAACTGCATGGCAGCGCATGGCAAAGCATTCAGATGCATCGCTGTGTGTTGTAATATGCTGTGTTGTAAATAAATGTATGCCTGCATTATTTTATCGCAACACACACAGTGCAAAAACACCACTGCAAGTGAAATGCTACCACAACACAGATTTTTAGCATAAGTTGCTTATTTACAGTTTTGCATACCTTCATTTTTTTTACCATTTAGCAAAAAGGCACAATTAAAAATTTACAAATATGTGTTATTTATTAACTCAGCGTTATCTTTTAGATTTCTTAGGAATCTTGTAAATTATGGGTTTTTTGTGCGCTCCGATAATGATTTAAATTTTTAGCAAAAATATTGATTTGATAAACTGTTGCAGGAATGTTGAGAGACCTACAAAATTAGTAGCACCATTTTTTTTATTCTAGCAGTCCTGTCCTTTCAGAAAATGTATGGTTTGGAGGGTCTTTTACAAACTCTAAAAGCTGCAGTTGAAAATTAAAAAGGTGAAAAATTGCAAAAATGGTCTGGCCAGGTGGGGTCAAAAGTGTTAGGCAGGGTTCGGCATTCCTTAACCATGTAATTTTAAGGATTCATGCCCTTTTTGCTTTTTAAGCTATATCAAATGACCCATTTCCAGATTAACATTTTTTTAACTTTCAAAGTATTTTATTAATTTTCCAAAGTAGAATAAAACAATAAAATAGCACATGATGCACAATCGGTATAGCATACAATTGCATTTCAGATTCTCCCACATTAGCATAGTCAAGTAGTAGGGGGGATCACTAGATGCCATACACACAATATATAATAGTTCTGTAAAACAGATCATATCTATCACCCTATTCTTGCCAATTTATCCCCCATCAGCAAAACAAAACTCAAAACAGTCTGAGAGGAATATCTGGCATAGGGATCCGCCTATGTCTGCAGAAACATCTGTTATGACCTCCTCCTTATCTATATAAATAGAAGACTTTCTGTCCAACATCAATGCACTAAACAGCTCACGTGTGCGAGCATAATGAAAAAAAAAGACAGACAAAAAAAGGAAAAGGAAACAGATGCTAAAGGACGCAGAACAGCTTAAGAGTCCGAAGAGAGTAGCTCCATCCCCGACCAAATAGCCCAACATCTACTTAAACATTAAACATAGTCCCCAGAGAAAAATTCCAGAAAAATTGTTCAATTAAAATTACCCGGTTTCCAGTACCCCTGTATATAACAACCAGGGGGTCCAGGTCAATTCGAAGCTTTTTTTTAGTATCTTGGAGGATGCTGTGAAGTTTCTCATGGACCATAATCCACAACATTTTTTGTTTAACCAAGTGGAATGGAATTGTTGGCGTTTTCCAAGCCCTAGCTATGGTTATTTTGGCTGCCAACAAAAAGAAAGTAATTCATTTATCCAAAGCTTTAGACAGTCCTGGAATCGGGCAATTCAGTAACACATATTGGGGGTCTCGTGGGACTCTCACCCCAGTAACCCCAAATATTAGAGCATAAAGCCGGTTCCAAAAAGGTCTCAATTTGGGGCATTCCCACCATATGTGATATATCGTGCCCGAGTGAGCACATCCCCTAAAACAATGAGGAGAAACCTCTGGGTATATTCATAGGTGAATTAATATTTCGTAGATAGTACCCCTTTGTTACTCATTCAAAAAAAGTGAAAACATAACAAAACACCCACACTACGAAAAAGTCCTTTATTAGAAAAAAAAAAAACAATGTTCCCCACAGCAATTCCAATGTCAATCATGTCCTCCAGCAATGAAGACCATGTCAACCATAATGACACGCCATTTTGGCATTCTTGACCCACAACTATGTACATACATCATACACATCTGCTGCTGTGCGTTTTCAGAACACATCACAGTGCTAAATTTTATTTTATTTTTTTACTTTTTAAAACAACATTATATAACTGCATGGCAGCGCATGGCAAAGCGTTCAGATGCATCGCTGTGTCGGGGCCATAATGACCGGCCTCTGCCTTAGGGACATCCACTTCAAGGCATCAATTGGTGTACCCGAGGCAGAGAGAGATTCCATTAGGATCCAATCTGGTGTATATCCCTGGTCATACACAGAGGAAAGCTGAGCCACCCGCGCTGCCTTGTAGTATTGCAAGAGATTGGGGACACCCAAACCCCCTGTCCGTTTAGAACGGTGCAGTACATTTTTCGAAAGTCTAGGATGTTTTCCATGCCAAACAAATTTAATAATTAAAGATTGGAATTTCAAAAGATCTGGCTTATGTATAGCTATGGGTAGAGCCCGAAAGTAATATAGGATCTTGGGGACCAGCGTCATTTTGAGTGCATGAATGCGACCCAGCCATGACAAATTACAGGAGTCCCATCGTGACATAGCCTCCCGGAGTTGGTGAAACAGAGGTATATAGTTTTTCTTATATAGTTGTAAAAAGACAGGCGTAAGTTTAATCCCTAGATATTGCAAAGCCTCCGTGGACCAGATAAAATCAAAATGTTCCGACAACCGAGACCACACTTCCTGGGGGATATTGATATTAAGAGCCAATGATTTGGATGCATTGACCCGCAATCCAGATACCCCAGCAAATTGAGTCAACAATGACAGGACATTAGGAAGTGTGGTCAAGGGTGAAGTGACAAACAGGAGCAAGTCATCCGCAAATAAAGCACACTTATGCTCCTGCCTACCACAACCCACTCCCTTAATATTAACATTAGCTTGGATCGCAATCGCTAGGGGTTCTATCGCTAATGCAAAAAGCAGTGGGAAAAGTGGACAACCTTGACGTGGGCCTTTAGAGATAGCTATGGAGTCAGAGATGTGGCCCTGTAGCCTAATTTGTGCTGATGGAGTGGTGTATAAGGCCTGCAACGTATTCAGAAAGAGGGGGCATTTTTTTTTATTGTGCATTGGTGTATCCCCTATGGCAATGCCCAGATACCAATTTAATTTTTTATCAAAAGTTTGCAAATTATGCCAGAGACAATACCAATATTTGGCTAACATTTGTTAATTTTTTTTAGTGTCATTAAAAAAATGCACTCTCCATTACAATCAGCCCCTTATACTACATATTTCTGAACACATTTGAGGGTCAGAAAATATTTTAGGTTTTTGATTCACACCTTTGCACTGTGTTTTGGTGTGTTACTGCACAAATGTGAGGCATTACATCATGGAATACCATTAACACAAGTAACACATGTTTTATTGCATGTTACTGTAACGCAGTAACACAGATAGAAGACTACAAATCCCAGCAAAGCAGAATACCATCAGCTATATAGAACTACAAATCCCAGCAAAACATTATACAGCAATGCAGAATATTATGAAGTTACATACTCTGTTTTGCTCACCAGGACTGTGTTAGGTCTGACCAGGGCTTTGCAGAGTCTCGCCAGGGCTGTGCAGGGTTTGACCAGGGCTGTATGCAGTCTCCCCAGGGCTGTGCATTCTCCCCAGGGCTGTGTGCAGCATCTCTCCAGGGGTGTGCATTCTCATCAGGGCTGTGTGTGGCATCTCCACCGGATGTTCAGGGTCTCATGGGCGCGGGCTGGTGCAGGCAATGGAGCAGAGGGGAATGAGGCAATGTATAGCCGGACCAGCACTGTAAAAGACAGCCATCATGAGGTCCCAAACAAGGCTGCTAAGGTCCCCAGCAAGTGCAGGACCTCAGGCAGCAAAACCCATTCAAAAATGTAGTGTCAGTATCATCACTCAGTATTGGGGCATTTTCACAAGTACTTGTAAAAATGCCCAGTATTGGCACCTACACTGGTATTGGTATCTGTGCAGCCCTAGTTTTGACAACGTCCTGGACGTGTATTGGAAAAAAAACAGGTTAATTGCCCTTCATAGCCAGGCATTGCATTTTCAATAGAAAATACAATGATTTAATAGCTTAACCAGGTGAATTTTAGTAAAAATGGGTTTAGGAATGTAATATTTATCCCTTTCTCACATAGGGTGACTCTTACATTAAAGACCGAGAACAGATGTTGCCTAATGTAAGGGAATGTAATTTTCATTGAGCAAATCTTGAGTACATTTTCATTAACTTGGCTAAATACATAGGGTGAATGTTCAGCAAACAATTTTGGGTAAATTATTTTGGATGAGTTGCCCATTAAATCCTTGTTAAATTGACCCCATGTACTATTTTAAAGACTCAGGATCCTGAAGTTGTAAGTCTTAGTCTCTATATCTTGGTCCAGACTGTTTTTCCACTCTTTGACCATCAAATTGAGGTGGCAGGGGAGGTAAACTGTTGTTATGCAGCTTGTTTATTTTATACCTCTCCTAAACATTGTTAGTTCATTCTTCTTAATTAAATTCAGCAATTTTGAGCTCAAGTATTTGTACAAGCTTCCTTTCACATCAATTAGCACATTTTCATTAATGTTCACAGTTCATTATTGGTTGCTTCTTAAAACATCCAGAAAATTACTGTTAAGTCGAAAAAGGAAAACCCGTCATCAGCTTTTTATTGCTGTCTGTGTGCCTCTTGCAGATTTTCACTCTTCCTGTCTGGTAAAAGTAAATAGAAATCTCTGTAAAAGAGTCCCAGACAGCAGTAAAAATGCTAATTCTTCCCCATCTAACAAAAAAACAAAAAGTTTAGGCTGGACTTTTAAGAATGCATACTCTAGGAGACATCCAGTAGTTTCCATGGAGGTGGAATATGTGCAAGCATTACATACCCTTTCAGTTTATTTTCTCTGTGCTGTCTGTGTGAGAAGGTTCAATTTATTTAAGCAACAGAATTATCTTCTGACACAAACTTTGCAAAGGCTCTGCCTGGTGCTGTAAAATCAGAGGAGAATGGCAATAAGGTATGGCAGCTAGATGTATTTGTGTTTTTGTCAGCCAAGCTTAAAAATGCTTTCTTCTGAATTTATTCTTTAACAAAATGTATTTTGAAGTATATCTACTGTATCTCTATGAACACTATACCACCTTACCTCCTGCACACTCAGTCTGATAATTTCAGTTCAACATGAGGAAGGGGCAAGAATTGTGTTCAGACTTTAAGATTTTAAGTGTGGCTTTATAAGAACCAATAAACCTACTGACTTATTTCATATTACTTCCTCAAGTTCATTTAGAATTGTTTTAATTGTAAGATATTTTACCGCCGGGTCCAGTGGTGTAACAATCACCATAGCGACCCAGGCGGCCGCTATGGGGCCCGGCCAGATGCCATGCGGGCCGCCTGGGTCGCTATGGGATCCTCTGCTGGTGGCTTTCACTGGCAGCTGAAGATGAACACGCCGCTGTTCAGATCACTGACAGTAATCTGTGCAGCAGCTCGTTCCTCTCCACAGAGTCAATGAAAGCCAACAGCGGCAGTGGAGGAGGTGGGCCCGTGGTTGGCAGCAGAGGAGGAGGCGGGGCCTGGTGAGGAAGAAGGAGGCGGGCCCGGCGACAGAGGAGGAAGAGGAGGCGGACAGGTATGGCGTGCGACCAGCCCACCTGAGGGTGACCCTGCAGAGCCCACCATAGAGAGTCTATGGTGGGCTCTGCAAGTTCACCCTCAGGTGGGATCTCGAGTGGGCTCTCCAAGGAGTATAACTAGAAATCACGGGGCCCCATACAAAATTTTGCTATGCTATGGGGCCCTGTGATTTCAAGTTACGCCCCCGGCCGGGTCTGTAAATCGGTTCCCAGGTTTTTAGGATTGTAATCTGAGAATTGTATGGGTGGAAGCAGGGGCACTGTTGGATGCAGCTACATTATGTGCAATGGTTAATGCTAATCTATAGCATACAGAATCAGGATAATGCTAGGGGCAAACTTTATTGTATTCTATGGGCTGTGAAGCTGCACTTTCTTTTTATAACAATGCATTTAAAAGCAAATTCTACGTACTGCGCTGTATCTATTATGGAATTTTGAGTTATTTTTAAACATGTTTTCCCTTTGTTTAGGTGAACCTGGCCCCCCAGGCATTCAAGGTACTCCTGGAACTCCTGGCATAAGTGGAAGATGTAACCCTGGGGATTGCTATTATCCCACTGCACATGGGAGAGCCAGGCTGAATGGAAAATAGCCTTCTTTTTTTCTTGGGCATAGTTTGATCAAGATGCGGGGCACCTGTTGTGCAGGACACTGAAGATGCCAAAGTGACAATTCAATGCTGTCAATGCATTTCTGGCCTGAACAGTGCTACACAATGCAATTAGAGCACTTTTTCAAGAAGCAGCCAGCCTTGTGATACAGCTGCTTCCAAGGAGGTCATTTCATTTGGTCAATATTAAGCTACAGGTCTAGAGCTACCCATCTAATCTTGCCAGTAAAGATGTGGGAGCTGCCCAACCTTCAATCAGCTATGGGCCTAAGTGACATATTTCCTCTGCTTTTTTATAATGTGTAATCAGGTACTATGTTCAGTGAAATGTGAAATGTGCATGATTCAGGTTTCATGTGTCATCTTCAGCAAACTATATGAAATACTGTATTTTTCAATATGCATGAGGCATAAAGCTTGAAAAAGAAATACCAAAGGCAATACTGCTACAACTTCTACAAAGGCACAGCCATATTATTTAAAGTAGCAGTTTTCATACTTGTCAACATTTCCTGGGCTCCACTTGCCAATGCAGTAGAGATTTGCATCAAAATGGCAACTGTTTTTCAGGTTTTCAATGTAGGAATATTGTCAAGTATGATTTTTTTTTGTTATGTCTATGATTAACTTTTGTATGTATTTTTTTACATTACTACTCTTGACACTCTTACATTTTGTATTCATATATTATTTGTAGATTTGTATGAGTTATGTAACCCCAGTTACATAGCCCGTTGAGAAAAAATGTGGACCCTCATCACTTTAATGCTTTCTCAATCCCTTTTCTACAGTTGTATTTTACTTATAGTATTGGAGTGACAAGTAGGCAGCACATTTGGAGTAGTAAAAAGTCTCTGCATGCAACATCTGTGCTGTCAGGCTCTATTCACAACTGTGCATTTTAGGTGCATTTACCTGCTTGCTGCAGCAGCTTCCAACAAAATACACATTACACATGGTAACACATGTTAAACAAGGCTAATATGAGCAACACACCGCAACACAGATGTAAAAAAAAAATACTGTTCATTCTCAGAACAGTTTTAAAGTTTGAACTTGCCCAAAGCCTAATTCAAAACAGCTTCCAATCAGAATAAAATATTTTTACCAACTGAACCTGAAAGTTGAAATTGGAGTGGTGAATGTGGCCCAGTGCAGAAAATTAGTAATTAAAGAACAACTGTCATGAAACATATTACATTCTAACAAATGCATGCAGTTAATGTGTGTAATAATAGTATTCAAAATATACATTACTTTTTTAAATCTTACATACCTTTAGTTGCTTTGTATATTCATTTACATGCAGATAGGCATGTCTAGCAAACGTGCCAGCATTTGGGTCACATTATTAACACTTCCAGGGGCGATTACAGTAAACTGTCAGCTTTTATTCTTTCATGTTGCAACTCTCCTAGTGGTCTTATAGTTTGTCTCAACATTTGCCACTGTCATTTTTGCTGTACTGTTTTTTCTGTATTTAAATTTGGAGAAAAATATAAATGACATCATGTGAAATTAAAACAAAATAATTTTTATACTGAACACTATTTTTAATCAACTACATACAGTTATCAGAATACACTATTTTCCACAATTCAATTTAAGATCATTTGGGATAATTTAAGAAACATTTTGTGCACCTCACAAATGTTCAGTTATTAAAAAACATCTAACCAGTGTCATATGTAACCAAGGCGCGGTACAGTAATTTAGAATAAAGAGGGTAGTGCAAGGATTGAAAATTTTTTTTATTAATGTAGCTACAAAGCACTGTTGTTTTTGTAGCTAGTTTGACACTGGCAATAAGCAGCACAAAAGTCAGAAACAAGAAAATATTTCAAATTAATGATGACAAAATTCTTTCAGATTATATGTTTCTCTTGAGTCGTTATATATGACTGGCTTTAATTTTGCACTAATTAATGTTGCTGACTTTTGGTTGCATAAATATAATATATATATGAGTATTCACATGCAAACTTGTACATTTAAACTACAGGCAGCTTTCTTAAACAGCTTTTTGTAACAATTTACATTTCTTTAATTTAAATATGTAGATATTTTAATATAAATAATTTCAAAAAAAGAAAAAAATATATTGTAACCATTTTTTTGTTAAATGTATTTTTGAGATATATTGCACATAATATTTTAAACTACTACAGTCTTAATGTTTTTATTTTATTTTTTTATCTGTCTATGCATAGGGTTTGCTGTATTGTATGGGTACATCACCTCTCAAAAGTATTACTGCAATGATTTTATTCTGTATCCAATATCTTACATGTATCCAGTGAACAAAAACAACATAAAAAAGAGGGGGCACATGTAGCTGGTAAAATAGTGCTGCAATGTGAAGACATTCATACAAGCTCTAACTTCACTGCAGTGTTTCCCAGACTGTAGAGATGAGAGGCCATATTGATTTTAAAGAGTGCAGTTCTTAGGTAATGTACCACCAACAATATGGACCACCAATATCCACTAATGGTAACTGGGAAATACTGTTGTACTGGATCAGTGGACATCTGAAAATTTACTTACAGCTCATAGGATGTCACTCAATTTCATAATATAAACTGCATCAAGTCATTTGCGGTTTCTGTTTTTGATATTGTGTTGATAATTAGCAATAGTTGTTCCCACATACTGTATTAAGACCACAAAGACAATTTTAATATTTGTGGTGTTCACATTTTCTTATAGCACTGAACACCTCAACACTCTATGCCATTAAGCAGAAAAAAAATTTGGTATGTTTTATCTTTATTATTTACGAGAATATTAATTATATTAGTATTATATTATGCACCACTAATAATGATTTTTTTTTCTTTTGTGTATCCCCTTTAGGCATACTGACCATTGCGACCGCAGAAGGTCGCCTCTAGTCTTGCTGGTTTCTGGTTGGCTCTGCATGCAGTTCCGTGTCAGCAGGGCTCTATCAACAGAAGGATGTAAATGGCATTGTCATAACAGTAATTAGGGCATAGAAGCAAATTTTCTGCTCCTGCACTGTTACAATTGTATTATCAAATTATAGATGTTATTTGCATTGCTGTGGACTTAAAGTATATGTAATATAAAAAATGTTCATTTTGGGTAAATTATGGTATGATTAACCACTTGAAGTCCACGGTGGTAAACCCCCTTCCTGCCCAGGCCATTTTTCAGTATTCACCACTGCAGTATCATGCTAGATGCTACATTGGCAACACATTGCTTTGCAGACAATGTAGCATCTAGCATCTGCAGTCTTGTTGCTAAAAGTGCATCTGAAGCCAAATACTGTAAATCATTTTTGTTTTGGACAGATTATGGAAGGTTTAGAACCCCTATCAGGTTTATGTGGTTGTCTGTGTCCCCCCAGGAAGCTTTACAGACAGAGATAGGTAAATTAGTTTACTGTGAACCAACACCTACCACATAAGGAGTTTCATGAGTGAAGGGGCCTGAAATAAGAATTATCTGTGTTGTTTATAGCAAACAATTATTTTCTTGGAGATTCTGGAAACGGTAAAACTGAGTATTACAGACTACACACACTGGTCTTCTATCAGATGCTTTCCTACAATAAACTCATTGTATCCATAGATGCGTTTATATTTTTATGCTGCTTTTGATCTCAGTTTTCAGGAATTGTATATGGACACTATGCATGTGCCAGATAAGAATTTTTTTAATTTGTTTTTATAAAGTCTTAATTTGTTTCTGCATTTACTTTTTTGTGTACTTTATGTGTACAATCAGGATTACCAAAAAGGTGCTCTTTTATGCACATCGCATGAATGCAGGAAGTGTACAGAGAACTTTGTATTGTATAAATTGTCAATCTTTAAATATTGAAACCTTTGTAACTTAAGTTTTCTTATATTTGCTTTCAAAGACTATTGTGCAGCAGAAATGTTACATACTTCGCCCTTTTTGAATCTATTGAAATCTCATTCTCTGGTGAAAGGATATCCATGTTTTTCTTATATTTTCCTTTGATGAAGTGTTAACAAAATCGATGCACTGATATCATATGTTTTGACATCAGTATCTATTAAATTGCAAATATTTTATAATACTAAAACATATAATGTTATATTTTTCCAATTTTCAAACTCAGAAAATAAAATTGCAGATTTGTAAGTGAAAGGTTAAAGTGAAATTAAACCCTCAAACCCCTTTTTAACATACCGTATATACTCGAGTATAAGCCGTCCCGAATATAAGCCGAGGTACCTAATTTTACCACAAAAAACTGGGAAAAAATATTGACTCGAGTATAAGCCAAGGGTGGGAAATGAGGCAGCTACTGGTAAATGTACAAAATGAAGATAGATACCAATAAAATTACATGAATATTTATTTAAAAGAAAAACAATAACCTAGCTCTGTAAGTGAGGACTCAGTAATGTGTACGGACCTTTAGCACATCTTGAACTTGCAAAATATTTGCTGTGCAAGTTTATCTATAATCACTTTTTGCATATTATATTTTTTCTCTGATTTTTATGCTTTGCTGTTTCTTTTTAGCCTCCTCCTCCCTAATTTTAAAATGTTCAGTACACATAGTCTCTGTGTATATACAAATGCTGCTGGAATCACTTAAACCTGTACCTACCAGCGATGCACAATACATACAGCTCAAATTAACTGCCTAATCATGCAGGGTAGTTTATCCATGTAATAGCAGAATCAGATACATTATAGATGCAGAATTATATAAGCAATGAAAGTGAATAAAAGTCTGAGTTAGTTTTAAAATATATAAACTATATATCTAAATAGGGAAGTATATTTATTTTGATTGTATAAAAATATAGCGTTTCAGTTTAAAGAAAAATGCTACTCAGTGCTGGAAAATAAGAGATGAATGAGAGTTGGTAAAAGCATTAATTCTCCTGAACCCTACCATATACTGCATTAAGTGCAATTTTTATTTTATTTTATACTATTTTAAAATTGTGTGTTTTTATTGTGCATATTAGAAA